TGCCGCAGCTCCCGGGGGACCCGTGCTTAGGCAGGCTGCGTGTCACGCTTGAACGTGGCTTAAAACCCCTGCAGGGCTGAGCTGCTTGTTTGTAAGGTGTGAGGGAAGCAGCGCGGAGCCTGCCGTGCTGGGTGGCAGCACCGTTGTGTGACATTCTAGGGGCGCTCTTTGGGATTACTCCGGGTTTTCCCCGAGCGCTAACAACGGCCTGGAGTGTCTGTAGCTGCCGTTCGCTTCCACGCAGAGGTGGGGACTTTCTGCGTTGGCTTCCTGAGCTCAGGCTCTTCCGGAGGAGATCTGGCAGCGTCCAGTACTCCGCGTTTCCCAGATACCGCTCAGGAGCAAACCCGTCTCTCCTCTGCAGGTTGTGCTCTGGATTCGCCCGGTCCCGCGACCTCGGACGATATCATGGAGGAAACGTACGTAACCGCGGGCGAAGCCGGACTCCCGGCGTTCCCCCTTGCGCCGTTAACGGGCGTGGGCTGACGAGAGGCTGGACGTGGCTTTTCCTTCCCTGGCCTGTGCGCAGCGGCTCTTCTCTCGGCCTTGCAGAGCCGCGTGCTGCGGTGCCCTGTGTCTGTCCCGGCCCTGTGTCTGTCCCGTTGTGTCCCGAGTCCTCAACCAGCCTCGGGGCCGAGTTAAGGGCTGACGCCCGTGGGGGGCCTGAGGCTGCAGCGCGGCGTGTGCAAGCTGCGGTTTTCACTCAACGCTTACACTGGGATTTCTGCTTGTGTGTGCCTTAACTGGGACCGGGCAGTTGCCCTGAGCTTTGAAGGTGCCTTTTGATTATTTTTTTCCCCCCTAATCTTCCATCCCCGGGGATGGGGGATGGATGCCCTTGGTCCCTGATGCACTGAGCTTTTCTTCCTTCCACCTAGCTGCCTGCCTAAACAATGCTGGGAAGAATTTGGGGGCAGGAGGGGGAGGAGGAGTCTGGCCTAGTGTTTCAGAAACCAGCGGCGGGGGGATAAGCTGACTATAAATAGCTTTTAAGAAAGACAAAGTGTCGCCAAGAAGCGTGTTGGCTTCTGCTTGGTGTAACGCTCCGTGACTTAAATACAGGATCGAGTTTTGGTGTCTTGTCCTTCGGTGCTCACTGGGGGGGGTCTCGCTTGCTTTTAGGTTTGAGAAGGCAATTCTCGAATCCAGCCGGCTGAGGTGAGTGTGTTTCTGTTTGAACTGCTTTGTCAGTCACTGTTGTGGGTTCTGGAGTTTCGTTGGGGGCGGGAAGTGAGTTCTGCTCATGTTACTGTCTTTTAAAACAACCTGTTGAAATAAATCTCCGTTCTCTTTCGTTGTAGCTTTCGGATGCCTTTCAGAAGAATACATTCCCTGCCAGTAAGTGAGGGTGGTATTGATATCGTGTAAATGTTAAAGGATTTAGCCTGTGACGTGTTTTTAGTTGGATCCATTCCATAACTTGTTAGTTTTCTGGCTTCGAGCACAGCTGCTGCAGTACTTAATGAAAACTGTTGAAATTCAGCTTGTAAACTTGAAATCTCCTCAAGTTGGCCTGAAACTTCGGCGGTGTGCCACTTTGGTACCTGTGCCGAGATGTCGGCATAAGAGACTCCTGTACCTCTGTTGCACCACTTGGTAGTCAGAGACCTCACAGTCCTTGTTAACCCGTTTTGCTTAAAGTAGAGTTGTGCGAAGGCTGTCTCGCGCAGTCTTGCACCATTCTGAACCGGCGCTTCGGTGTCACCGTTGTAGCAAAGCCTCCTGGGGTCCAGTCCTGCTCTGAAGAGAAACAATTCCGATTCTCTGGAGGGTGATGCTTTCCAGCCCTTGGAACAAGATGAAAACAAGGAGAACGTAAGTGTTGCTTTCCGTTGCCGGCGCTGGTGCGGCGTGAGGGGCGGCCCCGAGGGAGCTGCCCGAGCGCAGCCCGTAGCGGTGGACGTGGTGGAAGGGGCTGCTGCTGCGCCCAGGCAGGCTGTCGCTCGGACAGAACAACGTTGTGTGTAGCTTATCCCGGGGGGGAACTCGCAGGGAAGGGCGACGGCACCGGTGGCAGTGACTGCGAGCTGATTGCGGGTTAATAAATCCTTGGGAGGCTGCTCAGTCCGGCCTCCGCGCTGCCGAGCTGGGCTCCATCCCGGCCGTGGCGGGGGACAACGTGTTCGTGCTGCTGGTGGTGGGTAGCTGCGGGGGGGCCCCCGGGAAGCTGTTCAGGTAGATCAGCTCAGCGCTTTCCACTGCTGGCGTGGGGAGCCCTGGTTCCTCACAGCCCAAACGGCCCTTTGGCGGCGG